TAAGGTCTTAGAAGAGGATGATCAAGAGGTTTTGGGAAATCTAATAAATCGCTCCATCAAAATTTATTAGAGATCGTGTAAAGGTCATACAATAGAAGATTCGAAGGTTGTTATTCGAATCCCGTCGAATAAATATATTTCTAGTCCGCGCATTCAAGTTCTTCAGAGTTTGTTCAGGTTCCATTGTCACAACCATCGAGCGTGGTGCAGTGGTGTGCGACGCGGTTTTCTCCCAGCGAGGTCGCGGGTTTGATCCTTCTCCTTGCGGAAATAGGATGTTTTTTGGTTCCAGGCGCGCGGGCTTTTTGGCCCGCATCAGGCCAAAAATTTGAATGTGCGCATTATTCAGAAACGTCTCAGAGTCGGCAAAAATTTTAAACCGTAAGTCCTAATCCTAACTATAGATTCCGCTGCGTTAGGATTTATTATTCAATAGATTTGAATGTGCGCATTATCGACGTTTCTAATAGAACCCAACAACTGGTATCAGAGCCCAGGTTAATTCGACTTTGTGCACTATTCGAATTAGGGCTTGCGTGATATATGTGAATTAATTATGTACAGACGCATCACATAATAGATTAGAATTACAAATAAGTGTGTTTGCAGGTATTCTTGAATCCGACTATAATTGCCCGCATGTATGTTTGTTTTTTAATTCATGTATGTCGTTTTAAAAGCCTCGGACATATCGAGGATTTTTGGGTTGGTGAATGTTTGTAATAATTTGTTCGTACGGTGGGACACCGCATAGTTTAAATGCTTTATTAGATCATTCATGTACGACCCCTGCGTGGGCCATAGGATCAATGTATGTAATTATATTATGTAATTGTTCGTTGGACCCAGTAAGCGCGGACATCTCTCGACGAGACGAGGCAGGCTACCCCGCGAACCCGTAGTTGATGGGATACGTGGTACTGTGCAAATGCAGACATACTCGTAGGCAGCTTGCTGTCAGATACGAGCATTGTTAAGGTGTTTGCAGACGGATACGTACAAACCCATGTCAACAGAAGTACGGGCGACGGCGGCAGTAGGCACACGCCAACAGAGGTGACTCGATGGCGACTTTCCCGATGACAACTTGTTCAAGACGAAAAGTGGGAGTCACGGTGAAAAAGGAAATTCCAAGTCTTGAATCGGAAGACCCAGTTCAACAAGGACTAGACTGCGTTTCCCGAAAGATTGGAGATTGATTAAAATGGCCATGATAGTTGGATCTTAGTTCCTTGTTTATTATTGCCTATTAATCATGCATGTCCTTATAGATTTAATTGCTCTATGTGCAACTTGAATTATTAGGAGCATGTTAAGGAAAATCCCTTTAAACTAAAAATTATATTAAGTGTGTAATGGGTTGAAATAAATAACATCCAAGGCCTCCA